TACTTTGAAATGGTACAAGTTTTCTGGCTTCCTCAGAACCCCTGCTGTGGGGACATTGAAGGCAGTTGAATTGTGAAGTCTCAGGACCTGGCACGTTGGTGGAGGCTGGAGTTTTATTAGCAAGGGAATCCTCTCCACTCTTTCACTTCCCTGGCAGGAATCACCCGGGGTCCCAGACAGGTGTTTTCTGGCTCTCTGCCCTGCATGCAGGGTTGTCGGGAAGTAATCGCTCCTCATTAATTGGAAATTTGCCTGTTGCATATTTTATCAGCCCAGTCTCAGACACAGATATGGAAAAACGTGGCTCTGGATCTTTGCCTTCGATTTCGATACCATACGAAACACTTGCAAGTGCGCACTGGTGTCTTTGGGAACGGACCCTCAAAATGACGTCATATAGCTGCCTGTGACAACAGGCCAGCTGAGCAGAGGGCGAGCCTGTCCACTGGGGTCCATGTACCGCATCCTGTCCCCGCAGTTTCAGAGCAGCATTTGGTTTGTGTCCCGTCACGCATTCTTCGGGATAGTTGTGCAATTTCCCCCAAGCTGCTCGCCGTGCTTGACAAACTTTATTCGGAACTGGGTGAAAGGGGCCTGCTTTTCTGTGCGAGTGGAAGGCACCAGTTCCAGTCCACAAACTCTTTATCTTGTGAAGCCGCCAAAGAATTGAGCTTTAAGAAACCAAAACAAGACTTTCTGTCACTGAAAAGGGGCTCCTTGTCACCTGGGGTACAAAGTACATACTCCCGAAGATGGACACTAGAGTCAGGGAGTCACCCCGCTCAGCCACTTGCTGGTAAGTGACCAAACCTCTCTGTGTATCATTTTATAATTGGTGAAGTGCGAATCAGGGAACAGCTTGTTTGCTGTTCTCTGGCAGGCCTCACGGCACTCAGGCTGGCCGCATGATTGTTCACAGGCAAGGATGACCCTGCATTTCTGATCCATCCTCTCTCTACCTCCCGTGTACTGGGAATACAGGCATCTGCTATCCTGCCCTGTGTATGTGGTGCTAAAGATAAAACCCAGGGCTTCTTTCATACCTTATCAACAGAGCTACATCCCCAGACCTAGTCAAGGGTCCAGTGAATTAAATTTCTAAAGTGTAAGTAAATGGGGTTCTATGTGAGGACTTATGGAAATGAGAAACAACCGTAGGAGTTTAAAATGACGGAGTCTCTCAGAAGACTGCAGTTCTGCAAGGGCGGGATGCACCTAAAGCATATGTTACTGACAACCAGGTCATTATGCATCTGTTCAGTTGTCTGCTTATCAGGGGGATCTGGAGACATGCCATGAGATGTGAGTCAATTTAAGAGTGGGTCCCTGTTTAGGGGAGGCACCACTCCAGGGCTCTGTAAATCACTGGGACTCTGCTGTCAAGCATTTCTTGTGCAAATAAGATAACGTATGCTTCCAAAAAATGTCAGTTCTCTGTTTACAGTTCCTCTTGGGAGTGGAGGGGCCATTTGTTTGCCTAAATAAGACCTGCACAATGACAGCTCCGGTTGGAATGCCAGCGTGGATAGGGGAAAGGTCACAAAGCCCTACCCTTGGATGAAGGGCTCCAGGCTATGAACGGCTGCAAAGAGAGAAGAATCAGTCTTCTCAGGGGGAGCCCCCTGGTAGGTTGTTCAATTCCGAGTGGTCAGCCTCAAACATACATTTACAGGAGCAACACTAAACAGACTTAGCAGGTTCTGTGTGTCTGTGTGTCTCTCTGTGTGTCTATGTGTGTGTGTCTGTGTGTGTCTCTCTCTGTGTGTCTATGTGTGTGTGTCTGTGTGTGTCTATATGTGTATGTGTCTCTGTGTCTATGTGTGGTGTGTCTCTGTGTCTGTGTGTATGTCTGGGTGTATATGTCTGGGTGTGTGTCTATGTGTGGTGTGTCTCTGAGTCTGTGTGTGTGTCTATATGTGGTGTGTCTCTGTGTCTGTGTGTGTCTATGTGTGTGTGTCTGTATGTGTGTCTCTGTGTCTGTGTGTATGTCTCTGTGTGTATATGTGTTTGTGTGTGTCTATGTGTGTGTCTCTGTGTCTCTGTGTGTGTCTCTGTGTGTGTGTAAACAATAAGTAAAGATCATGAGTCTGAGAGGGAGTGGGGGAATGAACACAGGAGGAGCTGGAAGAGAAAGAGGGAGGTATAGAAATTATGTATTCAAGAATAAAATTCTCCAAAAAAATGTTTTAAAAGCTTAAACGATTGACTGATGGTGATGTAGAAGGTCCTTTTGTATATGTGTTGCTTTTATTGGTTAATAAATAAAGCTGCTTTGGCCTATAGTAGGGCAGAATGTAGACAGACTGAAGAGATAGAGAGAGAGTAGGTGGAGTTAAACACACGCCATGTAGCTGCCAAAGGAGACAAACACCCGGGAACCTTACCAGTAAATCACAAGCCTTGTGGTTAAAATACAAAAAAATAGAAATGGGTTAATTTAAGATGTAAGAGCTAGCTAGTAATACACTTAAGCTACTGGCCAAACAGTGCTGTAATTGATACTGTTTCTGTGAGATTATTCAGGTCTGAGCAGCTGGGAAACAAATGAGCAGTCTCTGACCACACAGTGGGGATTGGTGGTTCCTGCCTTTTATCTTGGCACTTGGGAGGCAGAGGCAGGTGAATCTCTGAGTTTTAGGCCAGCCTGGTCTACAGAGTGAGTTCCAGGACAGCCAGGGCTACACAGTGAAACCCTGTCTTGAAAAACTAAAAGAGATGGGGGTGAGGCGCTGGAGGTTTAGCTTAAATGTTTGTCTACCATATGTGAAGTCTTGGATACGTGGTGGCTCATGCCCAGACTCCCCAGAGGTGAAGACAAGAGGATCGGTAGTTCATGGAGTTCATGGTCATTCTGTTACCTAGGAGGTCAGAGGCCAAACTGGGATAGTTAAGACCCTGCCTCAAATCAAACAAACATAAAAGACAAACAAGCAAAAACTGAGAAGGAAAAAAAATGATCAAAGAAATATATCAAGATACTATCTCAGACCAAAGGAAGATGGTCTCTTATGGCAACAAATGCTGACATTTCAACCAGCGAGATAGCAGGCAAAGGCACCTGATGCCCACACCTGAGGTTGACCCCTGGAATCGGTAGCAAATGCCACCAATGCCCACAAGAGTAGGAAGATGAGCGAGAACATCTTTAATGTCAGACACCAAACAGATTGAACTGTAAAAGCTCAGGGATAGCCCCCTCCCCCAGTGATGCATTTCCTCCAGCAAAGCTGCACCACCCATGCCCACTTCTCCATAACTTCCCCAAACAGCACCACCAACTGGGGACATTTCCCACCCAACCACCACAGATAGGAAACCAAGAGACTTTCATAGTAACGAATCTGATTAATGATATCAACCTTTGTCAATGGATCTCTCTAACGAAACATAAAGAAATATTTCCTGTTTTCTCAAAAACAGTGGATTCCAATAACATTCCAGCTGCAATTTACTTCCAGTCAGTCAGGGGAGTCCTTGCTTAACACACATGAAGCCGCTTGTCCATCCCGGCCACATCTAATCAGATGCCGTGCGGTGGCTCATGCCTGTGATTCTCCCAGGATTCAGTAGGTGGAGGCAGGAGGATCAGAAGTTCAAAGTCATCCTGGGCTCTGCAGTCAGTTCTGCGCCAGCCTGGGCTACGTGAGGCCCCATCACAAAGTGAAAATAGAAATAATGTAAGTCATTTTATGAGACGTCTCCTCAGGTGGGTGTGCTGGCCGGCCCACACCTCTAATCCTTGAACTTGGGAACTGGAAGGCAGAAGCCAGGGAATGGAGAGTTCAAGCTCTGCTTAAGGAGTTGGAGGCTGGCCTAAGTCACAGGAGACCTACTCAAGGGGCGGGGCTACTATTCAATTCTGTGATTAAAAGCCTGAGATCCCTGCACTTTGGGAGGAAGTCTAGCTGGGGTGACTGGCTTGTGCAAGGTTCCCTGGATATCCAGAAGCAGTTAAGACTGGAAACTTGTCTTTGAAGCCGTCACTTCACAGTCACCCCATCTGCCATAACACCTGTAAGAGTTTTCCGTGAAGTGGCTGGTGACATAATTCAGTGGGTAAAGGCGCTTGCCGCCAAGCCTGAAGAGCGACCTCAGCTGGGTTCCTAGGCCCCGCGTGATGGGATGGGAGGCAGTTGTGTTCTGAGCACACACACACACAAACACACACACACACACACTTAGTTTATTATTTGTTTATAGACAGGGTCTTCTAAGGGACAGGTTTTGAACTGACCCTCCTGCCTCCATGCTTGGGTTTTATGTGGTGCTGGGGTCAAACCCAGGGCTCTGTGTGTGTTTATACACTTTACTATCGGAGCTACAGCTCCAACGGGCGATTCACTTTGAATTGGAAAGCGAAGTGTAAATAGGAGTATCAAATTTGTGTTGGTGATTGCACTGACCACACTTAAGTCTTACAGGTGCAGTTCACGGGCACAAGCGAGCAAGCCCTTGCGCGCTCACTTATCCTTTACATCCGGAAAGCTATGGGGAAACTGCAGCGACAGAGGGGAAGACACTCTGCAAAGACGCTCTGCGCCATCCTGTAGAGAGGAGAAGGCAAGACCCTGTCTACGCTACTGGAACATATTTTTTGATAACCAGAATTGGAAAATAAAACCAACTGGGGCAGAATGAATGTGTGCGGAGGGGCTGCGATGGGAAGCGGGCTTATCTGAGATTATATATATATATATATAAAACCACAACCAAATAAAGCCCATGTCTTCTCCAGAGAGCCCTGGTAGTTTGAAGGATTCAGGGAGTGGCAGCCAGTACCGGTTCCCCACTCTCTCCCAAGTTAGGGATGCCCACCCGCCACCTCATCCCGGGCTGCTCCCTGACTTCCTTTCCCTTCTTTCGGCTTCAGACTTCTCTGCCCGAAGGGACGCGCAGGCTAGAGCAGGCTCTCTGGGCTCATCCATCAGCAGGAGAGGAGGGGCAGAAGGAGGAGTTTCTAGGCGGCCGAGCCCCCGCGGCCCGCGGCGCCCTTCCCCCTACGCGCTGATTGCTGTGGCTGCGCGCCCGACCCCGCCCGCGCGTGTGCGCGGCCGAGCGAGGGCGCCGCACGGGCCTGATGGGGGTGATCCAGGGTTTCGGGGACGCTGAGCGCCACTTTCCTCCTCCCTGGCAGTGAGAGAGGGACGAGGGGGAAGCGGGCTGCTGTCCTGCCAGACCACTTTCGCTGCGCTATCCCGCGAGCTCCCGGCAGGAGGTGAAAGTCCCCGGCGGGGTCCGGATGGCGCAGTTGAGCTGCGCCTGCTGAACTCGCGGCCGCCTGCGCACGCAGGGCGCGGGGACTCGTCTTGGCTGCTCCCCCACTTCGCGGCGGACAATCGGTTCCCGGACACGCCGCCTACGAGGTACGTGCGGACTCTGCGCCTGGTCCCCTGCTGTGCAGGCTGTGTGCTGTTGCTTCTAGGGTTTGCTCCGGCCACCCGGGACCCCGAGCTCGGGACCTGGCTTTGATCCGGCCGGGTTGACGCTGAGCGGAACAGGGATCCGCGGCTGTCCCGAGTGGGCAGCGCCGGGGAGGAGCGCCCCACCGCCGCCTTCGCTATTCCTCTCCGCGGTTTCCTAGTCCAGTGCGGGGCATACAGGCCACTGCCCTCCCGGCGCGTGACAGCGTGGGTGGGCACTCGACCGTGATGGATAGCAGAGGCCGCGGTCGCAGGACACGCGCGCCCAAGCCAGCCCCGGGTCCCTGCCGGCCGCGCCCTGACGCGGGGAGGACGCCCGGGTTAACCCAGCCTCGCTCCCGTTGATATTAGAGGCTCTCTCGGTGTGTGAACTTGGTTGGGACAAACTCGGGACTCTTGGATGTTGCTAGAAGAATCGGCTTGCAGAGTTGCGCTTATTAGGGCATTTGTTCCACTTTACGGCACCCGGACAGAAGTGCAGACAGCCTGCGTGCCAAGCCTGCACTACCTCGGCAGAGTAGAACCTGGCGGCTTAGATGTGGGTGCCAACAGTCGCCCCACTCGCTAGCTGAGGGCAGGGGGGACCGGGTCCTGCAGGGTGGCTTTGAGGCTGCAGGAGTGCACAGATGTTCAGGACGAGGACCGCGCAGAGCGGTGCGTGCACAGGTGTTAGCGCCGTGTGCTGCGCCCTGCGGTGAGGGATCCAGCGAGTGACAGATGGAGATGGGGAATCAGGCGTTTTAAAGTTTCTTCTTCCTTCGCAGAACTGAAAGGCTTGATAGAAGTTTACAACATACAAAACCCAAACCAAAACAAAAAACACACCGCATCGTGATCCTTTAATATCCTTGGAATGGTCGTTTAGACCGTAGTTGGCTACTTCAGGGAGAACTCAGCTGGTTCTTTTGGGGGTAATAAAACGGGAGTGTATGGGTTCACTACCGTGTGCTCCATAATGTCTCCAAGGCAGCAGTCGGGCTTAAGTCCCACACCAACTCTGGTTAAAATCTTGTGATTTTAGTAGACCCATTTTACAGTTTGCGTGCCAGACTGTAGCCGATAGAGGCCAAGTCACTTGCCCAAGGTGATATAACAGCTTTCTGTTAGTTTTAATCCAAGAGCTGCCCTGGTCCTGGCGGGAAGCAGCAAGCAGCAGTAAGTCCTTGGCCCTCTGTCTTGCTTAGCTTCCTGTTTGAGTTGAATACATCTTTTGAAACACTAATTATCTGTGATTAATTTAGGTGATCATACATGACCTTTGCAGGGGCCAAAGCCCAGCTCCCCTGAGCCTGGCTCCAGATAATTATAAATAGAACCCCGACTCGTGTTAATCCTTAGTCCTCATTGCTTTTATTAATCTACCAGACGTTGTTGATCAAGGCCACTAGGCTTCCTTAGGAAGCAGCTTGAGGTTGGCGCAGGAGGCAGGGAAATAATTCTTACCCCCTGAAGGGCCATTAAGGAGGAGTTGATTTCATGCAATCGTGTCGACTAGAGGATGTTGCTCTTGTTTCTTGATGTCCCCCGCTTTTGGCTTGAATTCTGCATTGTTTAGCATTTCAAGGCTTCAGCATATTTTTTACTCTTGGCATTGCTGTTAACTTTAAAGTTTCTATTGTGATGGAATATGACCACCCCACATTAGCTTTGCTTAGCTATTGGGTAAGAGATATACATTAAAAAAAGATAAAGTCATCAACAGTGTTTTGAACCCCAGCACTTCAAAGGCCAACCCCCTGGGAAATTCATTGTTCTTTTTAACATTGGCCAGTAGGGGGAGCATAGCGTACTTACTGATGTCCTGCGGGCACCTAAACTTGCTTTACTGTATGTACTATATATTTCAGAAATGGAAAATGTTGTAGCTTTATCTAGCAAAATAACTAAGCTGCTTTCTGTGGAGGGATGGGTTTAATTTAAACTGGTTAAAAGCAGGATGACCTTGAGGTCTGGGCCTGAATGTTAAATGTGTTTACAGTGGCTTGTAGGGTCTCTCTCTCTTTTTTTCTTCTAGTTTGCTTTCCTTGAGATGTGTGCCTGTAAAATTTTGTGTTGTTTGAATAATATTTCAGGTTGTTTAGGAGAACTGGCAACCCAAAGAGATCCATTTGTGAATCCTTTCGTAGTGACCCCTATTTGTCTCATGTATAAAACTGCGTAGATGAACTCCGTGGGGAGGCTGATGAATTCAGTACCGTTTTCATTATCTTTCAATATCACCTTCCAAATTCGAGATAGTAAGAGTGAGCTCGTTATCCCATGTTCCTTTTACATAGCTGTGCATCCTCTAGATATGTTTGTTTCAGTACACGTTGGGTTCCCTGAGCAAAAGTGCTTGGGGTAAAAGGGCTCTCTCTGGATTTCATATCTGCATATACATATTGATCTCTTGGGAGAGGTGACCCAAATCCAAACATAATTTGGGTGTCCTATAGACCATAAAGGTAGTTCCATACAATGTTTTTAGTGTAGTTCCATTATTACTCTGGCTAGTTACACAAGATCAGTGTAAATTTTCCACTTTGTGGGGGTCATGTTTCTCCTGAGAAAATTTTGGATTTTGGAACATTTTGGATGTTGAATTTTTGCATCAGGGTCCTTTACCTGTGTGTCAGTACTGAAAAATCTTATCCTGTGTAAGTACAGGTGTCTGTGGTGTGTTTAGGCGATTATGCCTGTAAATATGCTTATAAGATATTTAAGAATCAACATGCTTGTATTTTTTATTAAGTGAAAGTTTTCCGTCTTTGTAGTTCCATTAGTAGGTCTTGTTTCTTGTATATCTTATATTAAAGCTTTAACTTTATATTAGCTGTTAGGGTCAAATGGGACCTATTTTAAATCACTTTAGAATTTAGCCACTTTTCTAGCTCGCAGCGCGCATTTGACACTGCAGACTCGCGGTTTTCCAGGGTCTCTGTTAGTCTTCCATTCTTTGATCTTCTTTACTCATCTCACAAATGTTTATCAGCCACCCCCCCCCCCCAGTCAGTCCCTGTTTCCGGGCTTTGCAGCTCGGGAAATTAGAATAACGTCTTCTGATAGCCGGGGTCACAATGGTCTGAGGATGCCAAGGCTTTCTCACAGGAGAACATTCACGTGGCAAAACTGTTGTCTCCTTCTTTTTTAATACTCAGAGGAATTAATCTTTTCCTTTTGCATACAAACTTAATTTATAAAAATCTGCCTGCCAGCCAGGCTGTAGTAATGCACGCCTTTAATCCCAGCATTTGGGAGACAGAGGCAGGCAGAGTTTGAGGCCAGACTGGTCTACAGAGTGAGTTCCAGGACAGCCAGGGCTGTCGAGAAACCCTGTCTCGAAAAAACCAAATCAGTCAGTCAATCAATCAATCAATCAATCTGCCTGCCTAAAAGCCCAGGGAAGTCCTGTGGGGTCACTTCTGGCTTCTTTTAGTTCTCAAGTGGTCTTAAAATTCTACGAGTCTGTGAAAGGTGTTTTACACCTAAGGACAGACAGGTAGACTTCAGAGCGGGCAGGTGAGTGGTAATATTACCACAGCACACACACCACCCCGTGTTTTTGTTGTTTTGAATTAACAATTCAAAACAATTCCTTTTTGGGGTGTGTGCATGTACACACGTGCACGCACACACATTTGCCCTATGCATGTATGTGAATCTTGTGCATGCCTGGTTGTCGGAGGAGGGTGATGTATCCCCTGGAACTGGAGTTGCAGACGTTGGTGAGCCACCCTGTGTCCTTTGAGTGCAGGCTGTGCCTGTTGCTATGCGCCCATTGTTCCAGCACCTCTGTAAATCATTTTAATGTGGATTTTCTATAGTCTCAGTGCTACTGGATGGAAAATGATGATGGCTACATTTACTGGTTAGTGGAGGGCAGCCTTTCCACCGCAGGCAGTTTTTAATAAGAATTTTAATAGCTATTTCAGTCAGTTCCTTATTTTCCTATACTTTCAAACATTGATTTTTTTTTCTCATATTCAAAAACCTTAACTGTTTTTTGAAGTTTACATGTCTAGTTAGGTTCATGTTCTTAGAGGTCTTTAACTCAAAAGTAATTTTTCACTTCCTCAGGAGTGTGGACAGTTGGGAATATGAGAACCAGCCTAGGTTATGTGGAAACATTTATTGTTACTATTGTGATTGTTATGTTGAGGAGCTGGGGTTTGCAGCCTTATGCATTTGAGACCTCATCCCCAAATAAGGAACACCAGCGTAGTGATATTTTGTTTGTGATTTAACAAATAAAACTTGCCTGAATATCAGAGTGTAGAGCTAAGCCAGTAGAAGCTGGGCAGTGGTGGTGCATGACTTTAATTCCAGCACTAGGGAGGTGGAGACAGGGGTGACATGGCTGGACAGAGAGAGGACTAGAAGGCGGGAGGAGTCTGAGGATGTGGTCTGAGGAGGAGACAGTCTGAGGACAGGATCTCCCATTTGGTCGATCACTGGTAGAGGTAAGAACTCCCTGGACGGCTCTGCTTCTCTGATCATCCAGCATTGACTCCTATATCTGACTCCGGGTTTTTAGTATTAAGACCGACTAGAATTTGAGCAACATATCAATGAGTGACATTCAATGAGGTGTCTGTGTCAGTGGAAGCAAGCGCAGCGATGGCAGGAAGTTCTGGTTTCCCTATCTTCCGACCTCACGTGTGAAATAACACCGCTTCTTTGTAGCATTTTCTCAAAACAAACTGTTGTTAACCTGTTCAGTTTCTAGTCCGGATGACATAAACCAACCACCTAGAGAAACTGTACAAAAAGAATCTGGGTCCATGTCCTGGGCCCTGTCTATCTCTAGATGTCTTGTCTTTATAGTGCTGAAATCGCAGTTTACTTATTAAGTGACTTACTTGGACTCAGCATGGATCTCCAAGCATGCTCCCACTCCACCTTAGGGACCAGTTATTTAGATCTCCAGCTCTCTCAAGAGTGTAATATTTTGGTTTTGATACAGT